GGAAGCTGAGAATGACCACACCTGAGGGTCAGCAAGGGGACAGAGACTTCAGTCCTACAACTGAATGTGACTGAGGTCTGCCAGTAATCGGAACATGATGGACACAGATTCATCCTGAGAGCTTCCAGAAAGCGATGCAGCTCTGCTGACACTTGATGGAGACCTTGTGGAAGTGGGAGCGGGGAACTGGTTGGGCCACATTTTACCCAACTTTTGACATGTAGTTCTTTCTTTTTATTTATTTATTTTTTTTAGAGATTTTCGCTATAGGGTGCGTGCACTCGCCAGACAGACAGAGAGAGACAGAGAGATAGAAAGCGAGAAATCACCCCCCCAGGGGGGATAGCCATGCCGCAATCCCTTCTCCTCCAGTCTCCTCTCAGGATCCTGGGCATGCACGCACACACACCCGGCATGAGTTTTAAGCACCTGGGTCCAGGACGTGAACCACAGTCAACTACGTGGGAGTCCAGCGACATAGCCATTATGCTAACTGCTGTTTCCCTTGACATGTAGTTCTTGAGATAATAAATTGGTCTCATTTTAAGCTGCTAAATTTGTGGTAATTTACTATGGCAGTAATAGGAAACCAAACCAACCTGGATATGAAGCCAGCTCCAAGGAAAGGGTTCTAGATTCTCCTGCAAGTGGATGGAACAGCCGTCTGAAGGCCTGACCTCTGCGTCCCATTTTCCAGATGGTTCCAGGCCCTTCTTTCACCAGGAACTGCTTCTCTGTCTGAAAAACGGCCTAGTTCAGAGATTACAAACGAGTGGCTCCATGGGGGGATTTAGGAAGTTGTATTTAGCCTATATAAATTTTCTTTAATTAGTTGCCAGTATTTCTTAGTCAGGATCTGAGCTGGTTAAGGGAGCTGGTTCTCACATGGCTGACTGTGATTTGAATCCTGGCCCTGGCAGCTTTATAAACATGCTGGGTATGTGTGCGCAAGTACTCAACATCCTGACGGGATGGAGAAATGGAGGAGAAGACAGTATAGTGTGACCACGCCCTACCGAGAGTTTCTGCCTCCCCCTCTGCCGAGTGCACATGCCCTTTAGCAAGAAAAAAAGAATGAGGATCCTCACACAGAAGTCTGAAAATTAGATCTGACAACATATAGCAACGTAAGAGTGAAGGGCAATTGGGAACCAGCAGTTAGCGTAATGGCTATGTCGCTGGACTCCCACGTAGTCGACCACGGTTCGCGTCCCGGACCTGGTGGCTTAAAACTCACGCCGGGCGTGTGTGCGTATGTGCCCAAGGTCCCGAGAGGAGAGCGGAGGAGAGGGGATTGTGGCGTGGCCATACCCCCTGGGGGGTGATTTCTCGCTTTCTGTCTCTATGTCTCTCTCTGTCTGGTGAGCGCACGCGTCCTATAGTGAAAATCTCTAAAAAAAAAAAAAAAAAAAACAGTGAAGGGCAATGTGAAGGCTCTATTGGGGGCACCTCTCTCTTTCTGACTCTCTCATGAAAGAAATAAACTTTTAATTTTTTTTTCACATCAGGAAGATGCCACCCAAGCTTCCAAATAAGGAACCATTTCTCTTTCATACTTTCACCAGTTGTCAAATTTCTTCTTCCTCCCTGAACTTACCACCTCTAATGAAAGCCTGGGGAGAGCTTTTGGGCTTGTTCCAGGCAGGACTTTGCCAGTAACTCACTAGGAAACGTTGGGCACGTCCGGTCCCATCTCTGGTTCCCCCTCATTTTCCTCACCTGTAGGTTCAGAGGGTCTTGCCCAGGAACATGCATCAGGTCCTTCAGACTCTAAAATGCTGATCCCACAGGTCGTCTTTCTAGACGACCTCTTTCCCCCCTCTAAATAATCACTTCCTTTCCCAAATGTGCTGCCTGGTTCGAGTTCCAGAGCTGCAGCCTGGGTCTTCCTCAGCGCTATTTCCTTGAAAACCAAACGTCTTCCTAGAGTTTAGCAGCTGCGTCAGGTAACTGACGGGCTGACGTACACACTAGAGAACTTTCTAGAGGGAAGAACTGATTGGACTGACTGAGGATTCACGACGAGCCCCATGAACTACCTGGTACGCTGCCCAGCTCGTCGGCCTGCCCTGGTGGCCCTCGGTCCTCACCAACCTCCAACCAGCCAGTGGATAACGGCCCGCGAAGCCCCCCCCCTGGTACCAGCCGGGGGAACCCGCCCCGCGAAGCCACGCCCTTGTTACACCAACTGGAGCCTAGCCAGAGCCAATCAGGGCCGAGGATGCCCGGAGCTTCTGGGGTGGGGCGTGGCCAAGGAGGGGACTCCTCAGGTGTCCAGGTGCTGAGTCGTTGATAGTGGGCGACCCCAGCCGGTGAGCGAATCATTTTCTTGAGATGGTGGTTCTAGACCCCTTCTGGCCCTCCAGACTCCAGGTCAATGAGCTGTTAAGAGATTCCCCCTTCCACTCAGTACGTGCGGGCAAGCAGTGATGGGCTGATTGGAGCCATTGACCCAGAAGGAATGCCCAGTGCTCGACTCCAAGGGCCAATTAGAAGGCTCCCTGTGTACCCCTTTTTATCCTGCCCTGCAGCAGAGGCCTTTGCTGCCAACAAAACAAGACCCAGGAGAAAGCCCTGGCTCTCCATTCTCATGCCAAACCCACCGCTGTCCTAGTCCCGAACCGATTGCCATCCTCACTCCTAGTTCCCTCTAGACCGCAGTCTCTCCTTCCCCACACGTACCACTTCTTCCCTGCCCAACCTTGTCTGCCATTCCCTCTCAAATAGGATTTTTTTTCAGTAGAAGTAAACACCAGGCCTATTATCGAGGCTTCTAGCCTCAACTTAAAACTTAAGTGATTATCAACCATCTTTCCGAAATTACAGCACGCAGGAGGAAATAACCCTCCACGTATGAGAATAAAACCAAAAAGAAAGAAGGAGAAAGAAAGAGAAAACAAAGGAAGGAAGGAAGAACGAACGAATGGACAAAAGACTAGACCTCCGAGACTCTGCAGGTTCTGGCCTCTCGGGGGTGTCCTCACACATTCCAGCCAGGTCGGCTCGCTCTAGGCTCTGGAACTTACCAAGCCTCTCCCACTGCGAGTCTAGAGCCTGTTGTCCTTCTGCCTGCCTAGCTTCTACCAATCCTTTAAGGTCTGAAGGCAAGGGCCGCTGTTTCGGAGCGCTGTCTCTGATTTTGCACTCCGAACCAGGTACTTCTCCTGTATTTCCTAATGGTGTCCTGTCTTCTTATTTCTAGCACTTGTCAACATCTTGGTCTGTGAGTTCATGTGTTTCCTCGTTGTTTGCTCCCTGTGTAGACCATGACTCCGTAGAAGCAGGGCTAGGGTCTTTCTCGTTCCCCTCATCACCTGGCACATGGTGAGCGCTATTTCTGTGAGATGTGAGGGCCGTATGTGACAGGAGGGGCTCGTGGAAACGTCTGCCCTGCGTACAGGATGGCTCTTGCGCTGATGCTGCAGAATCACTGTACCTCCCCACAAATACGACCCCGGCAGGGAGACGACCTCTTTCCCCCCACTGGAAACTACTGTCGTTTGGCTCTAAAAGGGAGAGGATCATCATTCAGAAAGGAACAGTATACAACCATGGTTCGTTTTTAAAAAACCATTTATTTATTTATGTATTCATTTTTTTGTGGGTTTTGGACCACTGGATACAGGACTTGAACTACAGTTGGCCAAGTGGGAGTCCAGAGACTAAACCATCATGCCACCTGCTGGCTCCAGAGCCATGGTCATTCTGATGCCAGAATTCATTTCTCGTTCTTTGCATGCCTGCCTTTCAGCCTGAAAAAGGAAGTATTGCAATAACGTCCCAATGACGCTCTTTGCCCCCAGTCTTACCTCTTCTAAATTTCATATATATATATATATATATATACATACATACATATTTGTATCTGGCTACTCCACATTCCTTTCTTCAAATCTTATGACAGTTTATAATTCATTCATTCATTTAATTATTTAACAAACTTTTTTGGGAGAGCTTTTCGCTATAGGGCGCGTGCACTTGCCAGACAGACAGAGAGAGACATAGAGACAGAAAGCGAGAAATCACCCCCCAGGGGGGATGGTCATGCGCAATCCCTTCTCCTCCATTCTCTTCTCGGGATCTTGAGCACGCACGTACGCATACGTGCCCGGTGTGAGTTTTAAGCCACCAGGTCCGGGACGTGAACCACAGTCGACTACGTGGGAGTCCAGCGACATAGCCATTACACTAACTGCTGGTTCCCTATTTAACAAACTTTTTTGAGGGATTATTAGTTTTTAGACACCATTCTAGGTGCTGGTGACACAAGCAGAAAACAAGATAGGACCGGCCCTGTAGAACAGTGGTTAAGTGTTGTACATGGGGAGCCATATCCCGCATGACTGACCACAGTTCAAGACCTGGCCCAGGGGCCTGAGAAACAACCCATGTGTTCTTGCATGCCCCAATCCTGATGGGATTCATACATGGAGGAGAAAGAGGAGTGTGGCATGACTGCACCTCACTGGGTTCCTTTCTCTGACTCTTTGTTTCTGTCTCTCTCTGGGGAGTGAATGTGTCCTCTGGCAATGACAACAAAAAAATTTTTTTGAGAGGTTTTTGCTATCGGGCACGTGGGCTCACCAGAAAGATAGAGACAGAGAGACCGAAAGCGTGAAATTACCCCCTAGGGGGGATGGCCATGCTGCAATCCCTTCTCCACTCTCTTCTCGGGATCTTGGGCATGCACACACATGTGCCCAGCGTGAGTTTAAGCCAGCGGGTCTGGGACTCAAACTGTGGTCGACTACATGGGAGTCCAGCGACATAGCCATTATGCCAACTGCTGGTCCCCCCAAACTTTTTAATTAAAAGAAAACAGGATGGACCAGGTTTCATGGAACTTACATTGTAAAGAAGTCAGGATAAGGTCTTACAAGACAGAGCTTCGACACCTTATCCTGGGATTCAGGGTCCATCATTAGGTCTTCCTCCAACCACATCTCTGGACACCACTTTCTGCCCACTCCCCCACCCCTAGGGACATACCATGTGAGGGTACTGAAGTTAAAAGTGTGTGTGTGGGGGGTGAGGGAAGTCACAGGCATACAGCCACTGAGCACTGAAGTCGGAGTTCAATCCAAAGATGATGGCTTCAAAGCCTGGTATTCTTACATGTGCACACAGTCTAGGCACACAGTAGGTGTGCCAAAGCTATTTTCTGCTGGACCTGTTTTATAGTCTCAAGTGTATTTTTGTTCTTCCTTTGACATTATTTGGAGGGGGGCATGTTTCTTCTGGCTAACCCAATCAACAGATCATGGAGTTTGCCTTCAAAAGTTCCAAGACCAGATCTAATGGTGACCCCTATTTAATGGACAGACAGCCTGAGGGACAGGTAGGGGTTGAAAGGGTTTTGGGGCCTGAGGACACTCCAGGGGTTCCAACTTTATTATGGCCCCAGAATTTCTATGGATTCTGTGGATTTTGTGGACGTCTGTAATTCCAGGGACAGTGGGGTGCCAGGTACGATGTAGTTCCCACAGGGTTGCTGTCTCCAGTTTATCTTGCCTTTCCTGGAAGGGGTGTGGGGGTGTGGGACAAGAACAAAGAAAGGATGTTGGAACTGGTTTAGAGGTGAGGCATTCAAATCTTAAACAGACAACCCTTTGAACACAGCATCAAGGCAATGTGGAATGACCCTTGGCTTAGTCTTTCCTCCCAATTCCATGGCTGAAATGTACGACCCTGTCTTTCACTTCTGGTCTTCCCTCTGGGCTTCTCCCGGAAGCCACTTGCCTGTTCCCCAGAGCCCGCTGGGAAGTTTTGCCTGATTTCAGTTCCCCCTCTCCTCTGGGCCCCCATAACCCCCCGACTTGGCCCAGTTCTTTGGGTGAGGGTGCCTTTCTCACCAGCCTGGGTGCTCTCTGAGGGCAAGGCCCGGGTTTGACCCACTTGTGTGACCACAGCATTGCTCAGCATAGAGATCAGGTGGTTCTGCAGGGAATATGGAGGGATTTAGCAGATGTAGGGGGTTATCTACAAAGGAACACCAGCCTTCAGGCAGGATGTTGGGGAGGCAGCAGGGCACTTCCAGTCTTAGAGAATGTCAAATAACCATGAAGCCTAGCACCTCCAGGCACTCTCTCAAGCTCTGCCGAGGAGGTGGGACACAGGATGTAAGTGTGACCCGGTCTCCAAGCACTTTGCTCTGATGGGGTTGTGCTGTCTACACTAACCACTAACTGCTGCCTGCAAAACACTGCGAGACCAGACCCTTTGGTTTCCACCTGGATTATGGTTTATCCCCCAAAGTTTCATGTTTTGGAATTTGATGTTGGGAGGTGGTGAGACCTAGGGGGAAGTGATTGATTCATGGTGATCGTGCCATGGAGGCAACATTCTTGTGACTAGATTAATGTTGCCTCACACAACCCAGTGAGTCTTAGATCTCACTTGAAGAGGTTAGTTTTTGTGAGAGCTGGCTGCTATGGAAATAGGAGCAAGCTGCTCATTCTCTCACTCTGCGCTTGCCACTGTTCTGTGCCATGCTATAGGCCTAGGTCTTTGAACTTTCCTGTCACCAGAATTGTGAGTTTGTAAATAAGCCTTCCCTTTTTTTTAAAAAAAAAAAGAAGAATTATTTATTTTATTTGTTACTAGTATTTATTTATAATTTGACCAGAGAGAGAAAGGAAAAGTGAGAAAGCAAGCCACCAGATCTGGGACTCGAACCATGGTCAGTCACATGGGAGTCCAGCGTGTTAACCGTCACACCACCTGCTGGCCCTCTTCTCTTTATAAAATCCCCCAGGCTCAGGCATTTCTGCTGGACATGCAGAAACAGACTGCGACATACTCCTACCCTACAGCCTCTTAAAGGTTCTCCCACCCTCTTCTCAGGGGAGTTCGGCGAGCTGGGGATGGGCGTAAACTGCTGTTTTAATGACGAAGTTATTTCTCTTCATTTCCGTCTTTCTTGCACTCTCTGGGCCATGATCTCCTTGTCTCTAAAGTAATCTGAAGGCACATTTTGACATTTAGCTATCACGTAGGATTGAGGGCCATCGGTCCCTCAAAAACCTGTATGTGCCTCGGCGTGGACTTCGCTGTCGTTATCCTGGTGGGCTCAGACACAGCGGGTAGTCACCAACATCCAGGTCTCAGACGGCGGGAACAGCTACGGCTTTTCCTGGCTCGGCAGGCTTCAGGGCCATCCCGGGTTTCTGGCCGACTCTGACCTTGCGGCTTTTTCTGGCTTTGGCCGCCTTCTCCGTTCTGGCATGTTTCACTCTGAGGAGGGGAGCTTCTGATCAGTCCCGGCCGCTCAACCCCCTGCAACCTCACATAGGCTCTGGCCTAGACCAGCGGTTCCGGCTTACCGCCTCAACACCACCGCTGGCCCACCGTGTTATCTGGGGCAGGTCTCCCTGGGAATTCGCATCTGGTGTAACGGGGACACCCTGCTTAGCAGGCTGTGAGGCGCAGGTGAGTTCAGCTGTGAAAGGGCCTTGCAGACCGTAAGGAGAGGCTGCTGTCTGTGAGTCCAGCTGATTATATTTTGAAAACAGCTCCTCACCTTGTGCTGCGCCTGCTCCTCTTCCTTCTGTCCCCTGATA